TAAAATAAGCAGGGCGATTGATCGCGTCTCTTGGAAATTAACACGTAATAACGATTTAAAATGTATTGCGCGCGACACACGTTTCACGAAATCATGAAATTTCTGGGAGAATTTACATTGTATTTTTAGGAAGAAGCGTCGTCTCGAGGAGATCGGGTGAACGTAGAAAGAGGTGGGGAGGTGCGTCAAAGGAAGAATCGAATAGAAAAAGGGATGAAAGCGTATGGAGCGTGAACAATAATCCCGTAAAGAGTCGAGGCTCGAGGCTGGCCCCTGGTAAATGGAACACGTGTAAGGTGTCACATCTATCTGAAAAGTTCATCGTTACGAAGATACACGGATGAAAAGAGTTTCCTAGAATGTGAGCTATCTTTGGAACCACCATGGTGGTGGCGAGTGTGTAATCGAAGGAATTGTAGAACACTTTTCTCATGCAAATACGCTCCCGAATACGCAGACCCGTAGAAGGGACAACGAACTTCTTTCGCTCTGCTTAAAACTTCGAACTTGGGTCCTTTTAAATTTAAATGCTCTCCCCTGGCACGGTCGAGCGAGCAGCCGTCGCGCGTTCTTCTTCTTCTTTCCTCGCGTCGATGTCACGAAGATGGTAAAAAAAAAGAGAGAGAGAGAGAAGAAAAAAACGCCAAAGGACACGAACCGTACGATAATCATCATTTTGGAATAAAAAAAAAAAGAAAGAAAGAAAGAAAAAACCGATCTCTCTTTTTTTTTTTTTTTACAAGTCGAATAATATTCACATTGTAAGCGTTCACGCGGAATTGTATCGCGATTATCTTAACATTCAAGTTGTGAGAAGAAGAGATAAGATTTTCAGGGGAGATGGTAAAAAAAAAAAAAAAAAAAAAGTTCGACGCGAGCTCGATTCGAAGGAGAAAAATTTTCGAGAAATTTTTCCGAGACACGATTTTTTTTGCCGACGATGATCGTTTTCCTGGGAATTTCAACAATGTACATAAAAGATCGCGCCCGTATTCACGGGTTTGGTAATTATTGAAACGAATAAAATTTTCACTCTGTACGTAATAATAAGCAGACACGCGAATATAACCATAATAATTGCGAAAACGTGCCCCCGAATCGTCGTAATACAAACGTATCAAAAATTATTATTTGCCGCTCGATGTCCAATGACCAGAAAAATATTTGCCTAAAGCGCGTACACCGTTGGATACGGATCGCATTTGAAATTCGAATTATTATAATTACGGTGTGTGCGATTAAAAATGAGAAAGCTGGAGAGAGGAGGATAAAGGGATGCGTAACCTCCGCTTCGTTCGATGATATAATTATAAAGAGTTACATGGTAGAATGCGTCTACGAGCTGCGCTTATTAAACCAAAAATTTCATGCGCATTAAATTAAGAATAGATTGTATGCATTATCGTGTATATCCCACAGATATTTTTCCCTGGTGAATAAAAAATGCAAAAAAAAAAAAAAAAAAAAAA